GAAAATGCTCCTGTTTGGGTTTGTGGAAATGTTTTTCAAAGCAAGACAGATCACCATGAAAAGTGCAACATTTCATATGAAATCATAGATAGAACTAACACATAAACCTCTCAGAATGAAAATATTATGATATCTAATTGCTACTTTAGCTCCTATAATCTGCATCACTCATGTGTGTAAGCGTGCATGTGTTCCACAAAATTCAAAATACATATTCCAAATAATTGTGGAAAGAGTAAACACGTGTATAGAAATCTGCATTAGAAAATTTAATTAAATGTAGTTTACTCCTTGCATTGTGGACACACAGGTTTTTTGAATTTTCTCTTACCCCTGCCTTAACTTATTTATATACCGTCTTTCTCACCATGGGAGGGACGGGGACTCAAGGCGATTAATGGCATAAATTCAATGCCAACATACATGTAGAAAGAAAAAAATCATAATAACTAAACACTAACATATAACTATGAATTAAAATCATTAAAATCATTAAACATAAGACATAAACAACATTTAAACATTAAGAGATGGTGGTATTCCAGCTTGGTCATAATTGGATGGCATTCTGCTTCCCACTGAGAAGTGGAATGGACTGAATTCTGGTTGTGGAATGAAGATTGGGTGCAAAAAAGAGGGGAAAGATTGAATATGAAAGCAAAGCCATGGATACAACCATATAGAACATCCACACTGCTATGTGTGAATTACTGATTTGAGCAGAGTAAAATATAGTCTCCATGCTATTTGTAGAGAATAAAATGGAACTGTTGGTAGGGATTTAGCTAAACATTTTTGGAAAAACTGATGTACTCTAGTTCTTTGGCTCACTTTTTGCTAAATGCTCTATTAGTTCATACTGGTGAGCTGAGACAATAGGACTGAATGGGACATATTTATTTATTTATTTATTTCCTACATTTATATCCCGTCCCTCTCACCCCTAGGGAGGGGGGGGGGGACTCAGCGCAGCCTCACAACCTGCAACCATTAGATGCCAAACACAACAATTATAATAACAATTACAATTTAAAAAATAGTTAAAACATCAATTATAAAACATCTATTTAATATTACACAAAGCCATTGTCGCAACCTGAAGTCTGTCCATTGTCAGTCACATAAGTCACTTATATTATTATCGTTGTGTCTGCTGCTGAAATGTTTGGTCCCATGTTTTAAGTTTTTTCCTAAAGGATTGGAGGGAGGGGGCCAACCTAATTTCATTAGAGTGTTCCACAGATAGGGGGGGCACCACTGAGAAGGCCCTGACTCTTGTACCCACCAGTCATGCTTGCGTGGGTGGTGGGGTCAGGAGCAGGGCCTCCCCCAATGATCTTAACCTCCAAGGTGGATCACAGAGGGACAAGTGGGCTGGGCCAGAACCATTTAGGGTTTTTAGACTAAAGCCAGAACTTTGAATTGTACTTGGTAATAGACTAGCAGCCAGTGGAGCTGACGTAACAAGGTGGTGGTATGCTCCATGTACGCCGCTCCATGAGCAATCTGGTTGCTACCTGTTGGACTAATTGAAGCTTCGAAACAGTCTTCAAAGGCAACCCCACACAGAGCACATTACAGTAATCTATTTAGGATGTAATAAGGGTGTGGACTACCGTGGCCAAGTCAGACTTCGTCTGACCTTTTGTGATGAGCAGCCCTCTGCATTTGTTACACACTTTCCTCATGTCCAGTAAATTCTGTACATGCATTACGAGTTTCTTACCTAAAGCTAGTATTTGTAGAATAATGGCATTTCACCCTACCCTTCCAATGGTACGCTGCGGAAAAGGATTTACATCCTTGTACTTGCAAGATAAAAATTATTAGGCTCATTTGCACAGGCTCTCCACATATTTAACCACATTATTATTTTGAGTTTAAAACTATACACTACACTTGAACAAATACATGGGAGATGTTAGCAGAGAAAACATTCTGATTAAATGTATAAAACACAATAGGTCATAAACCATAAGAGAAAAGCAGTGTCTGTGAGGGCTCTTCCACACAGCCATATAACCCAGAATATTAAGGTGGAAAATCCCACAATATCTGTTTGAACTAGGTTATCTGAGTCCACACTGCCATATATTCCAGTTCAAGGCAGACAATGTGGGATTCTTTTCAGCTGTGTAGAAGGGGCCACAGCTTACTCAACATGATTCCCTTTCTCCAGCATAGACAGTGTCAGGGACAATGGGAGACACAGATTGAAGCAGCTGGACAGGACAACATTTGGAAAGCCCTTTTTATGTTGATGTATTTCTGGGTGTTGCTTTATTTTGAACATATTCAAACACTCAAGGTTCAAATACAAGAGAGAACCCATATGACTGTGGGCTACTATGGTACCCATGGTATATAATTTAGACAATTTCTAATGACTGTACTCTTTTTAAAATGCATCAATCAATGCACAAGGAGGCGAGGCGATCCACTTGAACAAGGTCACATATCCTGTCACTGGTTGAAATAAGCTGAACACCAGAATCTCTCTTAGTCTTTCCTGAGCTGAGAAAGAGACACAATGCTTGAAGAATAATAGAAACTGCTTACTATAACACTACAATATCACATTAGGGACTAATAACTGTCAAATTAAAAGCTGGTTCTACAGTTCCTCACACAGATGCTTGTGAGCAGAAAACAACTAAATTTGATTTACAGAGGCGTCAATGCATACGCTAAGTTTATGTGATTTTCTTCTTTAACGTAAAGGTAAATTCTTCCCCTTGGCATTAGGTCTAGTCGAGTCCGACTCTGGGGGGTAGTGCTCATCATTTCTAAGCAGATGAGCCAGTGTTGTCTGTAGACGCCTCCTAAGTCAAGTGGCTGGCATGATTGCATGGAGTGCCGTTGCCTTCCTGCAGATGTGGTACCTATTGATTTACTCACATTTGCATGTTTTTGAACAGCCAGGTTGGCAGAAGCTGGGGCTAACAATGGGAGCTCACCCCATCCCATGGCTTCAAACTGCTGACCTTCTGGTTAGCAAGTTCTGCAGCTTAGCAGTTTAACCCGCTGTGCCACCACAGGTTTTTTTATAAGAAAAAAACACCCACGTATTTGTATAAATGGTAAAAGTTTCCATTCTCCACAGTTATAGGTCCTTATTTTCTCAACAAAAAACAGAAATATAGTTTATAATTGAAGGAAGCCAATTATGAGAATGTTTAATCTAATAAAATACAAATCTCTAACTCGACTATGTAGGCAGCATTCATTCAGTGTTAAATAGTTTGAATTAAATACTTACAACTTCACATAATGAAAAGAACGGGTGGAGAGGCGGAATTAAATAGAACTATGTGAACTTTATTGCAAAAAGAATTACTTTATAAAATGTATCTCAATATAAAATGAATTAATGGAATAATACATTACAATGTGACCTATATACTCAGCGCATTGAATAGAAAAAAATATATGTGAGGTTAATAGCCCAATGCCCTGCCTGAAACGATCGCTGATTTCCTTAAGCTTCTTGCAATGGCATTCCCTGTAATAGGCTATTTTAGGCTACTTTACTGTGTTCTCTCCCACTGTTACCTTGAAAGACATATATGTCTTCCTGGCATGGAACTGAAAGGGAAATATATATATTGTATTCAGCATTTAATCTAGGATTTACTGTGTATTTCTCAAAATGCAGGGTCATTATTCTCACATTGCCTACAGAATGTCTAATAAGCACTTCCTTCCTCAATTTTGCTGGTGCTGAACTTATGGTTCCTTACTTTTTATTGATTACTGAGAACCAGGGCCTTTCAAAAACTTATATGTAAGGTCCTTTTCAAAATGATATGCTGGCAGCATTTATTCTACCAACTTAGAATTCACTCACATCAAAGGAAAAGGAGACAGATGGATCTGAAAACAGGTTACTAATGATTGCAATGAATGCAGCCAACAATATTTTATATAAAATGGTTCCTAATCTATTCAAAAAAAGGTGTGGTGAAGAAATCAGTATAAACTTTCCACTGGCAACTCATTTTTCATTTAAGACATCATGGAATCATATTAAATGTACTTAGAGGAAAAATAATTTATGGACTTTTAGAAGAAAGAAGAGTTTGTCTTTTAGTGCATTTAATAAAATCTTTACAGTGCCTAAAAGAACTGTGTAGTGTAGGCATGGGCAATTTTTTTTTAAAATGTGGGATGAACCAAGTCGCAATTTGTTCTAATTACAAATCAATGCAGAAAAAAATACTTAAAGGGTAAATTTGTATTGACTTGAATATTTTAAAATTTTAAACTTTTCGAACACCAAATCTCCCATAAACAAGTTGCTTCTTTGAATGCATGTTTTACTTTATTAATGCAAATGGAAGTGCCAACTTTAGAGATCCTCACTTCCTTTGTTGTTTAATTAGAAGACACTGAAAAAACATGGGCCAGTGCTGTGTGAAAATTCAAGTTAATACAAAACTTTGTTTTGGACCTCCCAGATTGAATATATGTTTTGATCTGATTCCTTTACTGTTGTGTATTCTAATTTGGCATCTCATTACATGTGAAAGTGCAAATTACCCCACCATTTGTGGAAGGAATAGGGATCTGAGGAAGGACACCAAGACATTATATATGTATACGTCATTAGCAGCACTCTCCATAATCTATGCATTGGTTTCAAGGGAAAGATACTGCTGCTTCTAAAAGATTTATCAGCAGTACTTACTGTCCTTGTATTGTTTAGCCTCATTCAAAAATTCACAGGAAAATAATTGCTGTCACTTAGTGAAACTGCATTCCCAAATTTAAGTCATGGAATATTCTTCCTCATCACCCATTTGTTGTGATTATATGTAGTTATGAATGTGAACTAAAACAATGAATGAAATGTATGGAACCACACAGTGCAATAATAGAAAAAAAAGTTTCACACTAAAACCACTACTGTGATGAAATCATTTCTACATTATACCCATTTTTAGAAATAAAAATGGATTTTAGGTCTCTGACCTATGAGTCTATATAGCTGATGGTCTCACCTTCATTATCGCAGTCTTGCAATGACAGCCACATTTGCTCTACCAGACCAACTTGTTTTAATTCAACTGCAACGAGATGCACTGGCATTAATGCAATAGAAGTTAGTGTTGATCAAGTTCAACATAATTTAAGGCTATTTCATGCAAGTCACTGTTCACACAGGCATTCGGCTTCAGTTTAACCCTCTCTAAAAAAAGAAATACCTAAAACTTTATCTACATATTTCCTAATACTGTTGGTATGAGAAAAGGACTGTGGCCTCCAAAGAAAATAGGAGACCATACTCCTTATAACGGAGATAATATTAGGAAGTCTGGAGTCTTTTCATGATATCTTCAACATCATCTTCACTGTGGGAAAGATGGAAAGTATATCTATGAAAAAGGCTGGAAAATAAAGCATCACAGATCTTAGTTGTGAATAAATCTTATGGCTGGATACTGATAGTGTACTATGCTAACACAATGGTCTGTTGCACTAGTGCTTGCACTTTTTTCTGGTTTGTACAAGTAGGATGTGTTAGTCTCATTGGCAGCAGAGCACATAGGAAAAGCCTGCCTTTCAAGGAGTACTTTTAAACTGCAAACCTGCATTTTCAGAGGGAGTGTAACCTCATCTAACACAGGCTGACTCCCTATTCCCAGATCTGTCTTATGACTGAGTAGGAGCACACCTCTGTCTTGTCCGGATGAGAACAAATTTCTTTGTTCTCATCCAGTCCATTACAGCTGCTAGTCACCAGTGATAGAGTTGGGTGTCATCTCTGTATAGATGGAACCACACTCAAAACTCCAGATGATCTCTCCCAAAGGTTTCATATATATGTTGAACAGCATGGGGGACAGCACAAAGCCCCGAAGGACCCCCACAGGCCAATGGCCAAGGAGTCAAACAGAAGTCCTCCAGAACCACCTTCCGAGAATGTCCCTCCAGGAAGGAATGGAGCCACTGAAGAACAGTACCTCCAATCCCCATCCCAGAAAGGCAACTCAGAAAGATACCATGGTTGATGGTATCGAAAGCCACTGAAAGGTCCAGGAGAACCAACAGGGACACACTCCTTTCTAATTCTCTGCACAGGTAATCCACTAAGGTGATCAAAGCTGTCTCTGTCCCATAATCAGGTCTGAAACCAGACTGAAATGGATCTATATAATCCGTTTCATCCAGGAACCCTTGGAGTTGCAAAATCATCACACACTCCAGAACCTTGCCTAAAAATGTAAGGTTGGAGACTAGTTGTCCAGTACAAAGGGGTCTAAGGAAGGTGTTTAAAGACGTGGCCTTACCACAGCCTCTTTGAGGCCTGTGGGAACCCTGCCCTGATGTAGGGAGGCATTAATTTCTTCTGCAAGTAAGAAATGTGCTAATGACATGGAAGCAGAAATTGGAGGTAGAGGTAGAATATAGGAATATGGAACTATTTATGTTCATTATGGGGAGAGGTGGAAGAACTGGGTGGGTATGCATACATTCTAGAAGCGTTCTAGAAACACAATGTTCTGATTAAAATATTGCTGGGAAGAATGGGTGAGACAGAAAACGGCAGCTAAAACTTGGGATCAAATCAGGGAAACAAAGACTTCACGTAGGACAGATTGAAATTTGCCCTGCTTTATGTAACACTTTCAAGTTCACTACTTAGTATCTTTTTAAATCTGAAATGTCATCTGTGGGCTGGCACTTGAGAAGCGTGTGTGACATACAACCATTTGGCTATTGCAGAACAGTGTATGGCATTACTTGGAACAATGTAACATGTGAACTGGTCACTCACAAATGTCCACTACAATTAAGGAAAAACTGTAATCCAGCTTGGCCCAAAACTGATTCATGTTGATCTGTTATTGGTTGTGTTTTAAGCTATTGTTATGCAATTGTTTTGTGATGCTAACTGATTTTGTATTGTGTATGTGACTTTGTGATATTTACATCTTAAGGTGAAGTCTAAAATATATGCAGAACACATATGTTACTTGCAGATGCAATCCTCTTCATCTCTTGGCAAGACTAGGAAATAGTTCTTTTCAGACAACACTGAGTGTGACCTAGTATAAGGTCATGTCCAATTATGTAAATATTTTTAAACTAGTGCTTACATAGTGTTATAGTGATAGAAAACATTACGTGAAATGAATTGAAAATTATTTATTTATTTATTTATTTATTGCATTTGTTGACCGCCGTTCTCAGCCCTTTCGGGCGACTCACGG